GAGGAGGATCCCCCAACAATGTATGTCACTGCTTAGGTATCTAAGAGACAGCCTTTTTCAACTACCCAAGGCCAGGAGGAAAGCACCTTGGAAGCTCTGCTCTGACACTCCTATGTGGCCTGGAGCTAGAGTCTGACCCTTTCTGCCCCTCACAGGCTGTACTACTGGGAAACCAGGATGTGTCTTCCCTGAATGGAGCCAGAACTCAGGTTAATGTTGGATAGCGGCAGGTGTCCGAGCCGACAGGGAATCTGCAGTTTGTTTCTTGATTGCTCCATTTCACAGATGGGAAAAGGAAGGCTCCCGTGGGGACATAACCCAGGCAGGTCTGGGGAGTCCTCATGCTATCTTCATTCAGGATCCACCCGGACTACTATGGCACCCTCCATCTTGGTGTGCCAGCCCTCGGGTTCAAAGGTGACAGTCACCCTGCCTGTGTACACAGGTATGGCTGAAGGAACACAAGGCAGGCTGATCGCTCCTACGTGCACGCTAGCTGCAAGATGACCCCAGCCAGCTTGTGGGGAACTGCTCGACTGACAGATGGACAGACCCTCTCCTCTTCTTTCATTTGTTTCAGGAGAGCACCCACTGTGGTTAATTAACACTCTCCTGCTAACAATCTTGGGCCTGGAATTTGAGGAGATCTAGAAGCTAGGATGTGGGATGGGGGACAAAGGAGAAGGCGAATTCTTTCCTTACACAAAGAGTTATTTAGCACACCCACCACACCAAGGCCTGGGGTCGCTGGTGGGAGATACGGAATTGATGGATGCTGACCCTGCCCATGTGGTCCCAGGTCGGACACCTCCAACTCCAAGAGGGCTAGTTCTGGAACACAGAAAGGTCTCAGTGATTCCCCCCAGGTCTTCAGAATAGCAGAGGCAGCATCCACACAGCCGGACAGGGAAGCCAGTGTGGACATGCACAGCTAGCAGGAAGAGAGAACAGAGTCGCAAAGGCACAGAGATGGAGCAGCACAGAGTGGGAGCCCTCCACGTGGCTACAGCCCCAACAGACAATGGGGTCAGGAAGGCAGGAAAGTTACTTGGTGACAGGAAGCAAAAGGATTTGCTTGCCCAGCTAAGGAGCCGGGCATTTCAGTTGTTTTACAAAAGCTGGTGTACTTTGGGAGTAAGAGAGTAGCTCTGGAGCTACACAGAGTGAGCTCGAATCCAGACCTCAGCTGGAAGACCTCGGACAGATAATGACACTACCTGGTCTTGGTGTCTTACCTGTAATGGGACGGGAACAGAGTCCACCTCCCAGGAGAATAGTGACCATCCACAGAGCACACAGAGATGGAAATCTCCTTGACCCTACCCTTGGGGCCAGACCCTCAGAATTTTGTGCCAGGCCCATTTGCTCCACTTTCTACAGCTGATCATGGCGAGGGTCTATGGCTTGATGCCCCAGGAGGTAGATGTCTGCGCTCACTTAGAACACAAACCCACGGAAAGGCAATTTGTTACTAGGTTGGGAGGCTCATTCAGCCCCAACAAAGATCCAAGGGGTGAGATTTCACGGTGACTCCAGCTCTGTGAGCGAGAAATATTCAATAAGGAACTTCCCTGAAATATAGAGGGGTGGGCATTCGCCACACATATTCAATATCCATTTTTCATCAGACGTGCCGGAATCCCTCTGCCAAACAGGGTTGCTTTTCAAAGCAACTTACTCTGCTGCTGCCCTTTTATTGAAGGACTTGAACGGTGAATGAGTTATTTTCAAAATTATTTTAAGTCAAACATTCACTGGATCACCCCAGTCTGGTTTAACTTGGAAAGCTACTTTTTGAGGGTTTTTTGGGGGGTGGGTGGGGGAAAGGGCCACGGCTTAAATCAGAATGTGGATAGTATTATCAAAAACTTATGTTCCCGTCTCGTAGTCAACTGGAGGTACTTTGAGTCCAAATAATTTCAGAGTTCTAGAGTTTGGGAGAAAGTATCGTCATTAGTTGGGCATGAACTTGTTTTGACGTCATCATTTCACTTGCAAATATTGTGTTGACCTAGCAGGCAGAAAATGACTCTGTCTACAAACCTTTGAGAGGGGAGTGAAATGTTCTTTGGGGACCTATTTAAAAGGAAAACCCTGTGAGGTATCATGTAGACAAGAGGGGGTCTTTTCAGTTCAGCTGTCCAGTGTTTGGCTCATAGACCGAATCCCGCAGATCTCTTTACTGTGAGTGGACCACTACCCCCACCACCCACATAATACATACATTGCAAACAACCCAACGACATGGGAGATGGACTCCTGCGATTTTCAACCCAAGACCTTCTGGTCTGCAGGAAGAATTTTACTGCTAAGTGAAACCAAATCTGCATCGTGGACCAAGCATTATTCAGCTTTCATCCCTGGCTGCAGGTAGACACCCCAGACATGAAAATGCACACAAACTCCAGAAAGGAGGTGGCGAGGGAGTTGGTATTGGGACTGACCGGCTCAGATATGATTGAGCATGCGAAGTGAAGGAGTAAAGGGCTGTGGGAGAGAGGGGGTCTTAAATATGAGTACTCACAGAAGGTAATAGATTCCAAAATTCCTGATCTCCTGGCTAAGAAAAGACAATGAAAGCCCTAACACAAATCAAACAAATTGAAAGTTGAGGTTGTTCCTGAGAATTCTCCTCCTTTTTCCCCCTGCTATTTCAGAGTGGAGAAGTACTGGTCTGAATTGTCCAGACAGGCTGGTAAGTGCTCAGGCCCCTCTGCCCAAGGGCAAGGCCAAGATACAGTTGAGTTATAGCATCAGATTCTTTGGATGGTAGGATTGAGCAGGTGACACGACCTGTGACCCCTGAAAGTGGCTTTTTTTGTTTGTTTGTTTCCATTTCCCATTACTCTGCCTGACCGTTGAACCTTCAGAAGCCTTGATTTCTACACATAAGCAGTGGGCAAGAAAGTCTTGGCTGCTTCTTAAAAAAGCAGACAGGAATTAATGGGCCCAAGTAAATGCCCTTTCAGGAGCTGAGAAAACTATGCATAGCCACGAACCAACAGAGATGCTGGAGCAAGTCCGAGCACCTCCAGTGACTACTTTGAAGGACAAGACACATCTGGGAACGTGCTTGTTAGTTTCCTTACTGTGATGTTTAAGAAGAATCAGCAAAGCTATCTCATATGCATTTCAAATCCAGCTCTTCAGATGACATACCAGCAAATGATCATTCTACCAAGTTCTCTTTAAAAAGATGAAATACAATAACAAAGCCCCATAGTACACATATCTCCACTGACACTAACCTTTCTAGAGCCAGTTTTATCCATGTAACGTGGCCACCCAAGCATGGCTGTCTTTTCCTATAATTTTCAGTTTATTTTGTAATATTCTTTCCTTCAAAAAAAAAAAAGCCCCCTCAATTTCCCAAATTATCTTTTAAGTATTAAGTGTCTCTCTTTTACCCAAAATACACATCTTGCCTAGCTAACTTTGATCACAAACACATTTTGGGGGTAAGTTTCTCAAAGTTAAGCAGCTAAAAGCTACGGAACTATTTTATTAGTAAATCAACTGTTTTTCCAAGAACTTTAAAACTATGGCAAACGAAAAAAATTACCCTTATTCATTTCAAAACGGACAGAAAGGTTAGGCAGGAATGTAGAAGGCTTAGAAAAAACAAACAAACAAAAAATCGCTCGGTGCCTTCTTTATGTCGTGAAATATGCCCCTTTCTTTCCGGTTTGCTGACCACAATATGATGTGTTGGAATGCATAAAAAATGTAAATACCTCCTCCAGTCTCTCTCGGTGAGTCTTTTTCTTAATTACATTTCCCTCAGCATGATCTTCTATATAAAGAGGATCTCAGTTTGCTCTGAAAGCTCAACTGTATACAAAGAAACAGATCTCCCTCCATTGCCTCTGGAGTGTTCTATTTCCCCCCAGTTCCTCTAAAACCTCACAGAAGGGGTGATGTCTCTCAGAAAGTTTGTATATGACAAAGCTGACTTGCAGTATAAATACGGGCAGGACCCAGGACCCGGAGGGGGGAAGGAACAGCGTTCGTCCTGCCACTGCACGCAGGAAGTCAATGTGTGGCCCCGTCTAGCACTAGGGCGATCCACCTTCCAATCCACATTCCAACACTGATTTATGGGAGACGGATATATTAGCAACAAATAGGTTTATGCAGATTCATCTGCTTCAGGAATCCTGGCAGCCCAGAGTGGTCTCCAAACTGCCCTGCCCCGGGCTTCGCAGCCCCCAGCAAGAACCTCCCACCCAGAAAGACCCCCTTGCCATTTGTGTTCAACGGTTTTGTGCTCAGGATGCTTCTCTTTGGAGACTGAGTGATTTTTTTTTTTTTGCATCTTAATGGGTTCTGTGACACGGAGTCATTTCGCTGGTAACATCCTGGAGTGATACCTAGATCTTTAACACCTATTTGTGTGTTGGACTAAGACAAGCATTTAATGACATGCCAGTCAGTCTCAGCCCTGCTTAAGTGTTCCCTCAGACAGGCTGGCTTAAAGAAAGATGACAGAAAATGTTCTTTAATAACCATGGTTTATTCATTTCTTTCAGATAGTAAGTGGCACGTTCTCACCTCATTTGCAGCTTTTAATCCCAAATGGACATTGCTTTTGAAATATCCCCTTTCTTTCTTTCTTGCCTTCCTTTTTTTTTCCTCCCTGAGGCTGCCACTTGAAAGTTGAAATCTAGCAAGAATGTAATGGTAGGTGCCAGCTTTCTGAATTACAGGGTGACTGCCTGAGCTGATCCTAAAAAGCAAGTGTCTTTTTTATGCCGCATAAAAGGCTGAAATGTTTACATATCAAAAGGCTATAGGCCAATTTCTGTCAAAATTACACATGAAGTTAAGCAGTACAAGCAATTTATTTAAACACTAGTCATTGTAGAAAAATTCCAAACCATATGCTCTTTTAGCAGTTTTTCACAAATGCATTTGACCCATGACTTGGCTAGACATACAAGCTTCATAATTTACTCTAAATTTCAAATCCCCTTGACGTTTAAATAAAAGATCTTCATTAATGAGGTTTACATGAATGAAAACTTTAGAAGCTGATATCGGTTAGCGAGGGGCTTCGCGAACAGTCTGTGCAATCGCTCTCATTTTCAAATGACTGACTTTGCTAATCATTTCAAGAGAAAGTTCCACGGAGAACAAATTATCGTCATTTGCATTCTGTGATTTGCAAAAGCAACGGTGCAGTCACTTTGAAACAAACTTTGGTAAATAACTCAGCTGAAAGAGGATTTCTGCAACCCTGGAAAATTGGAGCTATTTTTTTCCCCCTGATGCCTTGGGAATGCGTCATTTTTCGACACCCTCTTCTTCTCCCCCAGTGTTATGAGTTTTCCTAACACCTTGATTATTTTGTCCTCAGGGGCTACGTGGGTTTATTTGGAATGTTCCAAAACCTCTAGCAGAATTCAGCTAGTAAGCGTCTCTAAGTCCTGCTGAAATGCGGGAGACCCAGCCCCCCTAAGCGCTGCCCCTCAGTGGGGTGGCATTTGTGCGTGGTGTTCAACTCCATCCACTCAGTCTCACCCGGAAAATCCTCTGGGGCTCCCAAAGGTGTCTTTGAGAGAGCAGCAGGGCGATGAAGTGGGTTTTGAACACTTGTTCTGAGACACTGGATTTTTTTCTCTAAGTCCAAATACAAACAATAAACCTGTTGAGCGCTGTGCAGACTGCACGTCTCTATACTGCGCACTGGCCACGGCCGGGTCTGCGCATTGTTCCTAATTCTTCGGACTCGGCTAATTCGCCCTGCGAGGGGGCTCTGTACCTTTGAAAAGGACACACCAGCTTTTTGCACATGCCACGAAAAATCCTACTTAAACGCATCCGATTGTGAACTCTGCTCCGTGATCGGTCAAGAGGCTGAAAGAATTAATAAAAGAAAGTTCCTGGAACGAACCGTAAGAAGTTGGGGCCGCATATGCTTTTTTTTTTTTTTTAAAGTCATGGATGTGTGTATGTGTGTGTGTAAGGCTAATGGGGCAACGGTTTTCTCCGTGATGAAAATATCTTCGGGCAGGAGGAGATACCCAGATGCACACTCCAAACTTGGGCACTCTGTTTTAAATCAGAGAAGCAATTTAATCTACGCTCTATGAATCAATTTAGCGATGACCGCGGCGCAAAAGCGTCCTGATAGATGCTGGACCGCAAATACACCTTATGCATGCGGAATCCGCTGATCTATTCTTTAATATTTACAAAATGAGGGCTATTACCAGGGCGACTGACTCCTCAACAAATACATTTTCATAGACTTCTGCGTGGTGATTGCTTTGTGTGAAATCGTGTTTGAGTGATAATAAGGAAAATCAGGAGAGTGTTTACTGCATTTCCGACCTAAGCGCTCGCCGGCCGCCTGCAGACGCTCCTGGTCCTCCCATGCTGAGCGGTGCGTGCAGGGCGACAAACAATCGCTTAGCAACACGAGGGGGGCAATTTGCGTGCGTCGCATTTGTTATTCCAATTGCAGCGGGCAACTCGAGGCTACTGATTGTTTGTTTAGCGCTTTGTGGACACTTGTGGGTTTCGGCCCGAAGAGGAGGCGAAGTGCGGGCGCAGCGCCCCTGATCGCCTTCCGCGGGTGGCTTCTGCCTACCGACAGTGAAGCGCCTGCAGATTGAGAGGCAACCGGGAGGAGGAGGCCCCGCTGCACCGGGGTGAGCTTCGCTAGAGCCCACTGAACAACTGGCGTGGGGTGGCCTCGGAGTCCCTGTGACTTCTTCCCGGAAAGTCGCCACCCATTTAAGGACAGAGCTTCTGGACTGCATTTCCTCATCTTAGACCCTGCTGATACAGAGACCCTGCCCTCAGGTGGGGATGGAGACAGCACACTCCTTTGTCCCAAAGAAAAGCACTAAAAAAATGCTGTTAATTCCACCCTCAGTCTCCTTGGTGAATTCTCCAGAAATTATCCAGCCTCATTAAATGTTAGGGATGTAAGAGACCCAATGAATGTTGGCATTGGCTTAACTAAAAAACAAAACAAAACAAAAACAAACAAAAAACAAAACTGAGGCCCAGAGGAGGGATGATATGCAAGGTGGCAAGGTTCAGTCTAGAACTCTGACCTCCAGACTCCCTGTACAGTGCTCTTCTTTCCAAAAGACAGATGGCACAGTGGGAGGCTGAGGAAAGGAGGGGACAAAGTCTAGGGGGTTGTTAAATCTGAGTATTAAGAGAACAAGGTACCCAGTGGAAGGAGGCAAGACAGCGTGTTGCAAATAAGGGCGGAGGTTGCCTTATTCAACACTTCGCAGGCACTCTTAGACTCGCGGCTGAAGTCTACACGTGGCGCTGGTCTTAGTACGTTTGCAGAAACCTACGAGGAATCTGTGCCGGTTTCCCACCGCGCTTCTGCCTCTGCCGGGTTCATCAAAGAGCTTAAAAGATACACACGCGCGTGCGCGTACCGCCGCGTGCGCCCAGCCACAGACAGAAACGCAGCCAGAGTCCCTGCTTAAGTTGCAGCCTCTAGTTGTCTTCCATCATTTGCCCTGTAGAATTAAACTCGGGAAAGTGGCCTAGGACCTGGTGATTTTTAAGTCTCGGAGAAAGGGGGACAAAAAAAGCCTCCATCCCTAGTTAGAGAGGGAAGGCGAGGGCGATAAACTTCTTTCCCTAGCCTGACCTCTCTGAAGGGGAGGGTCACACTCCTTCCTTTGGGAGTGGTGTTTATTGTTTAAAAAAAAAAAGTCCGCCATCTCTCCAAATTGAGACCCATCTCCGTCCTACTTTAATTTCTCCCCTACAACCACTTCTACTTTTGCTCAGCACTCAAAGAAGCAAAGCTCTCAGGTCACGAGCAGGTGAGCGAATGGGCATGAGGGCGCCGAGGTCCACATGGGGAGGCCTAGGAGGAGACGCGCCGCCGCCTAGCTTCTCTCGGTCAGCGCTGCGCGCCTCCGGACTTCTGCGCTCAGGCAGTACCAAATTTCTGCGCAATCGCTCCTCTGACCCGGGAGCAGCAATTGACAAGCACCCTTTCCCCTTGGCCCCAGAGCCGCGGAGGAGGCCGCCCACATACTTAACGTTACCGCGGGAATTTCAGACACCCTTGGTGGGACCCTTGGTTAATTACCCAGTATGAAACAGCGCAAAATGGGCGTGAGTTAAAGGCGGCCTTCCTTAGGGAAACCCGAGGTACCTCGCTACCCCGGCGCTAAGCAGACTCGCCTGGGCCCGGCACTGCTCCTTCCCCGGGAGTGGCCAGAGTTGCCTGCGCGAAGGGCCGAGAAAGGACGGCTCTGCAAGACCCGGGCTTGCGCCGGGCCCAAAGGACCTCAGGGGCTGCTTTCGTTCCACGCGCACCATCTCCTACCTTTCTGTAGAGCGCTCGGCTGCCTGCGTGCCGTCATCGTGGGCTGGTTGTGCCTCCAGCAGCCCCGGCTGACCGGCTGTGACGCGCCGAGGACCCCACAAATCACGGCGGCCGCCTGCCGCGAGCAGAGCCGGGCTTGGTTCAGGCCGCCGGGGCCCAGGGAGCCCAGCCTGGGCCTGCCGGGGGAAGGACAGCTGAGGGGAGCGAGGGGGGCCCTGTCACGGAGCTAGCAAGTCGGATGGGAAAATGCGATTCAATTGTTGGGGAAGGGGACAGGGAATCCCTCAAGTCCCTTTTTTTCCCCCGAATTTGGATTGAAAACAAAAACAGTTAAGGGAGAAGGCACCCTGCTTTTGAAAAAAAAATTCAAAAAGAAGACAGAAGACAAAACCTACCGACACCCACGCAGGGAGCAGTTGGAACCATCGCTTCTGATTGCTACCCTTGGTGGCGAATTTCAAGGTAGTGGACGAATTTGGTCTCCGCTGTGTAAGGGCCTAGGGACGGCTATGGTAGTTTTCAGACCCAAAGTGACTGCAAAAGTATATATATACATATAATTAAGAACCGCGATGCACTTCTTTCGTCGTTTTGCCATTACAAATTTTGGCCTTTGCAAAAACAAAAGCGTTTTAGGGAGTTAACCAGTTCCATTCAGGAGAGAATGTCAAGATAAAAAACAGAGGTGAAATTAGGCGGTCAGCGCATGGGGGCCAATGGAAGAGTGGAATTTCAATCTTGCTTGAGGACGCAGCTCCTCACATTTTTCTCAAACAAAACAAATTCCAAAAGGGGATGAAAAAAGTAGTCCCAAAGTAAAACTGGCCACAATGAATTGGGGTTGCATGCAGAGGAAATCGCACCCAATAATAGGACCCAATCTGAGGGAAAAAAAGGTGGGGGCAGAGGGGTCGGCGGAGGGAGTTGTTAACTGCAGCCCCACAATGGAATTAATGAGATTAACCGGGGCAATTAGGACTCCCGCCCAGCTCCGTCGGCCCGCGGCGGGGCGGCTGAATGGAAAAGATTAGGTTAATTTCATTAATTCTCAATCCACAATCTCTTTCCAGGCCCCCGTAGCCCCCTCCCCTTGGCACCTCTTCCCCTCCTCCTTCCTCTAAGCCCCCCCCACCCACCCAAAGGAACAGAAAGGGCCAAATCTGGTTCTGTTTGTCATCTGCATATTACCAGGAACTAAATCCAGGATGACGTCGACTCAGTATAAAACCAACAAGAGGTTCAGCTGGTCTAAACTCCGTCCTACCCGCGGGTTGAGTTCGGCGAACGCCGCAGCGAGGGGAGGGCGGGAGGAGGGAGAGCGGACGCAGGGGGCGGGGAGGGGCGCGGGGCTGCGCGCTCGCCGGCGCTCTCTTTCGGTTTGGTACGCCGCGGGAGGAGAGTGGACCCCCCAACTTTGAGGCTTTTTCCTCCGCGCATCCCCGCCGCCTCCCGGTCCCGGCGCGGGGCTCGGGGATGCCCGCCAGCATGTTCAGTATCGACAACATCCTGGCCGCCCGGCCACGCTGCAAAGACTCGGTGCTGCCGGTGGCGCCCAGCGCTGCGGCTCCGGTCGTCTTCCCGGCCCTGCACGGGGACTCGCTCTACGGCGCCGGCAGCGGCGCCTCCTCGGACTATGGCGCCTTCTACCCGCGCCCCGTGGCCCCCGGCGGCGCAGGCCTCCCGGCAGCGGTCGGCGGCTCCCGCCTCGGCTACAACAACTACTTCTACGGGCAGCTGCACGTGCAGGCGGCACCCGTGGGCCCGGCCTGCTGCGGGGCTGTGCCGCCACTGGGCGCCCAGCAGTGCTCCTGCGTCCCGACGCCCCCAGGTAGGGTCGCGCTAGTGCTGGCCTCCGCGGCCCGCCTAAGTCCTCAGCCCCCGGGCGTGGGTGGGCGGTGGCGCTGGCGTTTTTCACTTTGCGCAAACTTTTCTCCTCTTGCAAACCTGCCCCCACCCCACCCCCACTTTTTTTTCCGAATCGGGAGCAGGGGCTTGCACGCTTGCTGCAAACCTTAGGCGAGTTAGCGGAAACTGTAACACTGCCTGCGTGGGGAGACTAGGCTTTTGGGAATCCCTAACTGGCTTTGGGAGTGTGCTGGTGGACGGTGCAGCAGGTCCCCCATTTCCCCGCACCCTCGTTTTCTGCGAACCCCCAGTTCCAGCATCCTCTTGCAGACGACTTTAAAGTCGCGAGTGAGTCGCGGTCGGGCGTGTGCGCGGTGGCAATGGAGGCGGCTGACCGTGCGCCCTACTCTGTCGCAGGCTACGAGGGCCCCGGCTCGGTGCTAGTGTCCCCAGTACCGCACCAGATGCTCCCCTACATGAACGTGGGCACCCTGTCCCGCACCGAGCTGCAGCTCCTCAACCAGCTGCACTGCCGGCGGAAGCGGCGGCACCGCACCATCTTCACCGACGAGCAGCTCGAAGCTCTGGAGAACCTCTTCCAGGAAACCAAGTACCCAGACGTGGGTACCCGCGAGCAGCTGGCCCGGAAGGTGCACCTCCGCGAGGAGAAAGTGGAGGTGGGCCCGGGACCCTGCGGGGCCTCGCAGCTTTCCCCAGCGAAATAAGGACCCAGCCGAGTGTGCTGAGCTCCCTGGGTCTCCGGCTCTTTAAAAACATCCCAGTGGCGGCCCGGAGGCTGCTGGAGGGCGCTTTAGGCCCAGGAAGTTGGATGAAAATACGGAAGCGGGAGGCGGGTCTCCTCTCTTTTTGTTGACGTGCGCGCGGGGTCCCCGGGGTTCCCTTTCCACGCCGGGGTCACCCCGCGGCCACACCGAGCCCCGGGGGTCCCGGGGCATTGCGGGAGCGCGCCCTTGATACTAACGGTTGTTTCTGTCCTTCGTTGCGCAACAGGTCTGGTTTAAAAACCGCCGCGCCAAATGGAGGCGGCAGAAGCGGTCCTCGTCGGAGGAGTCGGAAAACGCGGAGAAGTGGAACAAGCCGTCGTCGAAGGCGTCGCCGGAGAAGAGGGAAGAGGAAGGTAAAAGCGATTTGGACTCGGACAGCTGACGGCCGCGGGCCGGCCGTGGCCCTTGCCTAATTCGAAGGACTTGCACACCCAGACGATGCTACTTTCTTGCACACGCGCTGCCTTGCGGGAGGGGGTTCGAGAAAGAGGAACGAGGAGCTGTAAATAGTGTACAGTCCGGAGGGTGGGCGCCTGGGGTCGGGCCACGCCGGGGCTTGCAGCCCGAAGTTCGAGGCTGAAGGTGACTCCCTCCCCACCGTAGTATTTATAGTAAATTAACGGTGAGACGATACAATAAAGTGACGGCGATGTAGACAGGCCAACATTCTGTATTTCGCACCCCACCGTCAGCACCATCTGCGGTCCAGAAAAGAAGTCTATTTAGTTTGTAGCTTCGAAAGAAAAACTGGGCAGCTATGACCTGTCCAAAAAAAAAAAAAAGAGAGAGAGAGCGAGAGAGAGAGAAACAAAGTCTGGGTGTGAATGTTTGCAGGACCGGTGTCCTGGTTCAAACTGGATCCTTAGGTTTCTGAGAGGGGTAGCGCTGCCCCTGAGAGGAAGCAGCCTGGGATTGCTGTTCCCCTCGCCCGTCGGAGAGTCGGGACCTTTTACCTTCTTGTTGCTGGCGGGGTAGCCGGGAAGCAGGATCCGCCCAGAGTGGGGAGATCCTGGGAGCATCTCCAGAGCCCGCTTAGACCGCTCACTGGGCCCTGTTCCTGCGAAATCCCCAGACCTTAGGCAGACGGTCTGCGCGGAATTAGGCAGGCATGCCCTCTCTAGAAGCTTTCCTGGGTCTTTCGGGGTCCTTCTCTCTGCTCTCCTCCATGGCAAGCGTTTCTGCCCCGACAACCGCTGCGGAACAAGAGCTCGGAACTGTGAGCCCCAGGGCCCCGTGGGGACTTTCTTGGGGCCGGGCCCATAGTGGGACACTGGAATGATCTGGCCCACGCCTTTGAACCCTGCGTTCTGTCTGGCTCGTGGCAGTCACTTCGAGGTGGGAGTGCTGATGCCTCTGGCTTTCTCTGAGGACTGTCTCTGCTCTGCACTGATGGGGCCAGAGGAGGAAAACCTGGGAGTAAGCTGGGGCACTGATCAGCAGTTTGTGAAGGCCTAGAGAAGCTTCCTGGTACCACATAAGGGCTGGGGACAGAGACCAAGATGAGAGCATGCATTCTGTATGATTTTCGAGACCATGGTGGCAGGCGATGGAGTAGAGGCCAAGGGCTAACAAGAATAGCTTTTAATGCATTAAACTGTATTGGTTTTGCATTAAAATCCATTATAGACAAGGACCCTAAGATGCAGAGAGCTTCCGGATGTCTCTGCGGCCGGGAGTAGGTGAACTCTTTCCTTCTCCTGGGCTGTCCTGGGCGTTTGGTGTAAGGTCCCTCCCGGGGAACGCGGGGCATCCTGGCTGTGGAACACAGCACATGCAAATTAACAGCTTTTCACAAGAAGTGGAATTTTTTCCACAGCATTTTTCAGGCTTAAAAGGTAAAAGTGACTCCTGGAGCAGGTGAAATGGCACTTAAGGAAATAAGGGGTTTCTCCCAATCCCCGTCTTTTTAGTAAGGAGTACCCCTAGAGGAAACAAGGAGGCAGCAGTTTTGAGATCAGGTCTGCCTCACGGGGCAAGACTGCCTCAGTTCGTCTCCAGACTTCCTCATCTGTGACCTTGGGCAGGTTCCTGAACCCCTCTGTGCCTCACTTTCTATGGCTGTAAAATGGGCACAGTCATAACATCTGCCTCCCCGGGGGATTGTGGACATGAAAGGCACTGTTTCGTGTAGAATTATACGTGGCACAGGGGAGGCCTTCATGGCTACAGGGTTTTTTTAAAAGTGGGATTATGAATTACATTGTGTCAGACCCAGCACTTTCAGACACATGTATAGTATCTTATTTTACCTTTCAAGTCCTCTGAGTTGGGGAAAGTTTTCATGAGGAAATTAAGGTTCAGAAGGTTAAATACTAACACCATGCCGCTCTTAAGAAATACAGAGGGGACAACATCTTCTCCCAAGTAAATCATATACCATAATTGGGAATGTTTCTACTAGTACCAGTTCTGGTAAGAAATACTCAGAGGCCGTTACATTAATTGCAAATGAATCTTGCAGTGGCCATTATTATAGCTTCTCCTTAGGTATCAGAGTCCCCAGGGGAGAGCCTTTCCGGCTCGGTACCTCTTCTCCATCACTATTCCTACATGCTGTTCTCTGTCCCCTCGCCGCCGGAGGACGGTTGAGCCTTGACTTCTAGCCCTCCTCCACTACTCCCTAGTCTGGAACATTCTGCCATAGGACAGAAGTGGGCAGTTTCATTTCACCCTGAGAAATCTGATGTCTCCAGAGCGCTATAAACTCCTCTGTGTCTTTGTCCAGGACTTGCCCTCAGATTCCTTATAAATGGGATATTTTGTTTTTAAAAAATGTACGTTTATCTAGTTTGGAGAGGTGTCCACAAGTGACAGGGAGGGGAGGGGAAACTGAGGAGGGGGTAGATTCTCAGACACCCCCTCCCCCCCAGGAACTCCTGGTGAAAAGCCCAGGACGGGGCGGGGGGGGGGGGAGGCTGTGCCAGGAGGGGGCAGGGCGGGGAGCCTGAGGGCTGCGCCCAGCTTGGCCTGAGCCTGGCCAGGGCGGCAAGAAGCAGCTTCTCCCTGCCCGAGTCTTCATGCAGAAGGACCCTAAGAAGCGCTTCAGCATGTCGGGAGTCAAAAGTGAAACGTCCAAATGGTCTGCTAATTACAGTCCATTCACCTCCTTTCTGAATCCCCCAGTCAGCTGTGGGGCTCAAACCTTTTTCTTAGCCTGGCTGTTGGGATCAGGGAGGGCCACATGGTATCAGAACAGAAAGCACTTGGCCTTCAAAAGCCATCGATTGTGGCCAGTGGGGATTTGGATCACAAGGGTTGGGGAGTGGTGTGTATGTGTTCACACAGGCAAGACATAAGCCAGGCAACAGCCTAAGTATTTTCCAGTCTGTGTAACATGGCCCCTTTCCCCAGTTGAAGATGTTCTCCCATTTCACAGCCCAGTAAACCGAGGCACAAAGTTAACACAAAGGGCCAGATGAGAACTGCCAATTGCAAGGAATAGGGCTCTTTTGATTGCGATAAATCCAGCTGCCTCAGAGAACACAGGCTGTTCCTTTTGGTGGTAATTGAAGCTACGTATAAAAGTTCAGAAGGGTCGACTGCAGCTGCCCCTGGGGGACGCAGGAATTCATCTGCCATCAAGTGCCAGACAGGCTCTCGCAAAGAACAATGACGCCCCTTAGAACCCCTAAAATCAGTCTAGCACTGTCCACTGTAAAGCCCTTCTGCATACATCTCAGGCCCTCCGGAGGGAGGAGTCGGCCCATTCTGCAGATGGGAAATGGAGGCTCAGAGAGACTAGGTGTCTTGCCCAGGACACTAAGTAAAGGGCAGAGCAGGCCCTGGGCTCCCAGACCTGAGCAGACCTCTGCCTTGGCCCTCTTGGGACTGGAGATGACTTCCTGGTGCCTCAGGTCACCTGAGCCAAGTCGGGCCCTGCTGCAAAGAGCTGACAAGTCAGGGAAGTGAAGTGTGTGGGGGGAAGATTCAAGGATTCCAAAAGGCTGCCATTCCTCCAGGGAGGGTGCATTCATCTTGGCCTCGGGCTGTGGGTGCGGGGGAGGCTTTAAACAATTGCTCTACAAACCACCCCTGTGGAGAGTCTATCTCAATGACAGTTCTTTAATCAAACTTGCCTTTTACTGACTTTGGAAGTTTGAGCTAACATTTTGAGCCTTGTGTAAAGGATGTCATTTTAATGGGTGTGTGTGAGATCCAAGTTGGCAGGTTCCTTTCTTTGCACGTGGGAGAAAATGGGGGCTGGGAGGTAGGGGTGACAGGGAGCTCTTTTTCTGAATTGAATGATTTGAGTAAAATAGTTCAGGCCCCCAGCTCCCACCCGAAGATCCCTAGGTCCATAGCTCAGGTCTCCCCCCAATTCACTCTCCTTTGTTCCACATCTAATTGGTCACTTCTTTAAGTGAAATGAAGGGGTGTAGATGATAACTTTCACCTATAAGAAGACAGAATTCCAGCCTGGGGAGGGCCGGGCCACGAGAGGTGGCGAGTGGACAGCTGGGCAGCTGGCCCTTGAGTCACTCTGGTCCCAGCCTCCATCCATATGGGGCTGTGTGCTCACCGAGTGAATCTGGGAGAGGTTCCCTCCTCACCTGCAAAATGGGCTTGAGTAGAGGATTAGAGATAATATAAGAACCCAGCAGAGTGTCTGACACATTTATTATAGTGTGTTTTGAAAAACCACCCTCAAATCAGCTGGCTAGTACTCTGCCTAAGTAGATTGGAGTTAGGAATTCAGGAATGCACCTTGTTTTTAATTGTTGCTGCTGTAGCAGTTTATGCATGACCGCAGGACACAGACTCTAACAAAATTAAACGTGATTGCCATGGACTTAAGACAAGGAAGCATCTGATAAGGTATAATGGGTCACATTCTCCCTAAGAGCTTTAGGACCAGGCGATTTAGAGTGAAGAAAGGGAGAATGTGGAGCAGATTTGGATTCGATGTCCAGGTTTTATGAAATGACCTTGAAGTTTCTCGAAAGTAAAACGAAAACCAAGCGCAGCAGCCAGTGCGCAGCTCCTTGAAAGTTCTGGGAGAAACGGATGCGGCTGGATCTTTCGCTTGTGGGGGTTTCTCACTTGCTGGGAGGGGGACATGGGGTATCCCCCAGGCCTGTCTCTAGAGCCATGTGACAGCTTGGTCTTAAAATCTGAAAAAAAAAAAGAGCCATTGTCTTTGCAGTCCAGTTGACCCACAGAACAAACAGGGTGAATTACGACATGTTGTGGTATTTTCAAGTGGGTCTATAATTTTTGGATGCCAGCAGCTCTTACTCTCGAGTGACCATCCCTGGGAAGCAGCTTAAGAGAGATCTTAAGAATTCCTCTTCCAACCCCTCCTCCTCTCCTGTTCCACTTACACCTGTTTTCCTAATTCTGAGGTCCTCCAGAGTCTGCTGACCAAATCAAGCGACCGAGTTTAGTCAGGGGAACCTCTTCCTAGCTGGGTGTTGGCACGCCCTCCCTTAACCTGAGCGGGTTTTATAGAAGCTATAATTAGTGAGATAATTTTAGCCGAGATGGACAGAGTGGAAAAACGTCCGGATCATTTCCTCACGGGTTTCCTGGTTGTATAATGCTGAGCCCAAGGGATGCTTCCACCTTCCTGCGTTATCAGGGAGACTGACCCCGGGCGCTCCAGGTGCAGTGTCCCATGCTGGCCGCACACAGCACGGTGGCAGTGGTCCCACATGGCTGCAGGGCTGCACGGAGGATGGATGGGCTCTCAAAGGCATCCGTCACTGAGAGGGGGAGCTTTTGGGCTTGGGAGGGCCTGCTCCAGCCAGCTGGGGGCTCACTGCGGAGACAGCCTGGGGGCTGGTGTGGTCTGAATCACACCAGCCAGTGTTTGACCAGCCAGCCTCACGGTGACCATGCCTGTTTTAATCACGTCCCAAAGAAATTACTGACATCACCCGGCAAGGCTAAGCGACTCCTTCTTTCCAGATGGAGTCTGGCTAATGCTCCTTTGAAAAATCCTCAAAGTGCTAACTCTGGGATCAGAAAAATAAAACTGCCCTTCTCCAAGAAACAGGGAGGCCCAGAGCATTTGGAAAGATTCCCCCCTCTGCGAAGAAGACTCAGAACTCTGTGAAGTCGGAATCCCAGCTGCTTGTTTCATCTGAAGATGTTCCGACCGAAGGCCAGATGGCGGGGACATTAAGGGATGTGCATGTTCAATATTGTTTTGTATTTGAGGAATAAATATTTAAATCTGAAACCAAGTGAATCCCTTTCTACTGAAGTGGGCAGGGATGGAAAGTTTTGTGTGTGTGTGTGTGTGTGGGGATGTCCCCCTGCCATCCTACCTGTAACTCCGCATGCGTGATTCCTGCTATGATCAGAACCTTCAGAGAGGTGGTCGCCCGTCTGCTGGTGCAGGGCACCAGAAGCCACGTGCCGCTTCCTCCATTTCAGGGTTACTGTTTTTGTTCCATGCCTGCAAGAAGACTCCCAACATGCATGGTTGAAACGGAGACCCCATCCCTTTGTCCTTAGCTTGATGAACCCCCGGTGGTTTTGTTTCTGTTTCAGCCTGTATGGTAACTGGACTCTGATACAAATGGGAGCAGATGAAAACTTAACCCTTCTCTATCCTGCAATTAAAGCTCTGAAAAGATCATAGGTCTCTGGTTTATTTTTGTCTTTATGGAAGAGATTCGTGTGTAGTTCTTTTTTCTCCTTTTTATCCAAAGTGGGGAAATATTTGCTGCATTGCCTGGAGAGTGTGGTTAAAAAAATGCATCTTATGTTGGAGAAGATTGACAGTTTCATCATCATGTCCTTAGCTAATCCCTTGTAAGCGTTAGGAGACTGGGTGGAGGTGGTTGCTGTCATCTTATTGCATAATAATTGCTACCTCCACAGCTTTGGCCCTGTGTCCAGCACTGTTCTGAGTGCCTTATCATCTTTATTCTATTGAATTCTGTCCATGTGCCTGTGAAGTTGGCGGGATTGTTGCCATTTTGCAGAATGTGAAATGACATTGTCCACTCAAGTCAGGTTGAATCTGACACTCCCAGTTCAGTGCTCTTTCTCCACAGCCAGACTCCCTCCCTTAATAAGGACCCACCAGGAAGTCTGGGCTCAAATCTCTGCCCCATCACCAGCAGGCAGCACCACCTGTAAGCTTCAGCCCCTTCATTTCCAGTGTGGGAGGGTTATCATTTCCTGCAACCCATGAAAATTACCTGGGGTTTTGCAGATGCAAATGATTAATCATGGTAAATACAGCAACACATTAAAAATAGAAGCGCATAATCAAACATTATTTATTGAGACTTTCAACAGCAATGATAATAATAATAATAATAATAATAATAATAATAATAGCCCCCATTCAGTTCACAAATATTAAAAGGGTGCCCATTCCGTGCCAGGCACTGTGCTAGGTGCTGGAGAGAGACAGCCTCTGCCCTCCTGGAATTTTATGATTCTGTTGAGAGAAACTGAATTCAGTCACTAAGTAGATAGGCTGTGATTTCAGATTTCAGTGGTAAGTGCTAAAATGAAAACTGGGTCTGCTGAGGAGATGGAGGGAGTGAGGGGTCGAGGTATGGTCTGAGGTCTGAGGTCTGTGTGGACAGAGGCTTAAATGTCATCTCAAGTCATCCTCCAAAGCAGGGGTGGGCAGACTACAGCCAATGGGCCAATCTGGTCCACTGTGTTTTGTCAATAAAGTTTTATTGGAACACAGCTGTATCCATTCATCTGTGTATTGTCTACAGTTGCTTTCCCCTGTAATGTCAGAGTTGAATCATTGCAATAGAGACTGTAGGGCCCGCAAACCTTAAAATACTTCCTGTCTGGTCTACAGAAAAAGTTTGCTGATCCCTGGTCTGAAGTTTAGGGTTTAAACCAGACACAGAGGTGGGGAGGTTATAGCTCAGTGGTAGAGTGCCTGCCCAGCATGCATGAGGTCCTGGGTTCAATCCCCAGTACCTCCTCTAAAAATAATAAATCTAATTACCTCTCTCCCAAAAAAGCTTTAAAAAAATAAATAAAACAGATGTGGAGGCTATTGCTAGTAAGGGATGGAGGCAAGGTTTACACCTGTGTGTCGCATGCTTTGTTTCCTTTCTCTGTGGTATTACCACAGTGTTGGTGTTGGCCTGTGATGGGGATTGGGGGGTGGGTTGGGCTATAAGGCAGGATGTGGAAGATGTAATATAGCACCTAATGCCTGGAAGCTGCTCTCTTGGTGATGGAATTTGTGCAAGAAATGACTGCAGGTCAGTAGAAAATAGGATGTCCAGAAATGCTCAATTAGGTGACTTGGAGACGAAGAGGAAAGACAGCTGAAACCTTGGAAGGCTTCCTGGAGGAAGTGGGAGTTGTAGGCCAGTTAGTATTTGGTCCAGGCAGAGAAGAAACATGAAGATAGGCAGGTATGGTGGCAGCCAGGAGGCCACCCTAGTCAGCCCAGAGAGGAGGCTGTCTGGCTGTCACACTCCAGTGCTAGCTCCCTGCATTCATCCCACACTGGCCAAGCTCCTGCTGAGCCCAGGCCCTGTGCTGAGCTGGGTCAGAGATGTGAGCAGAGCAGTGTTCATCTTCAGGCAGGAGAATTAGGCTGACTCAATACTAGATGACCAGTGCCGAGGTGGAGGGTGGGGGGACCCCACAACATGCAGGGTTGGGCAGAGGAGGGGTCCTAGAAGGCTTCTGGCAGTAGATCATTGGAGCTGCATGGTCTGAGGCACCTGGTGATGGGCAGGAGGAGGGGGAAGTCTTTCAGGATGAAGAAACAGCTTGAGCAAAGGCTTAGGGGGCGGGGACAGGGCGTGAAGAGGGGGCGTCAGTGATGGGGATTGGCTGAGCAGAGATGGGAAGTGACTTAAGGCAGGAGCTTGGTGGGAACCCACGGTCTGGCACTGTACAGTGTTTAATTCACTAATTTAAAACCAGCCTGCAGAATAAGCTTCCCTTCCCTCCCAGATGTCGGGAGCTAGCCCAGGGGTGACCGGGGTGGTGCCAGCGCAGCATTCACATCCACCGTCAGCCACAGGCCTTTCTGGTCAAGAGAGGCCTGCGGGCCCACATTTCGCCAGCATCTGCTTGGCGTCCTCTCCATCTGCTATCACAGAAGGAGACAAAAACGTCTCGCTCAGGGCCTTCCGCAAAGAAGGGTTTTTGGTTTTATGGGCTTTTTTGTTTTTTGAATGGGTTTTAAAAGACAGTGATTTGTGCCTGGTAGTCTAGTTCATCAAAGTGATTTTTCCAGATGCTGTAATTCTTAGGCTGCTGACACATCAAGGCCCCTCCCACCCACCCCACCCCCAGCTCCAAGTCCCACTCCAGCCTTAGGCACCAATCCTCCCCCACGAGCCCTGGCCCAGGCCTACGTTCAGCATCTTGTGGCACATAGATCCCCTTTCACAACTGTTCACTCCCTGTCCCTAAACAACCATCGGGTGTGGGTGTGTCGGGGACTGTTTGTCCCATTTTACAGAGGAAGGGGCTGCCAGGCCCAGGGCAAGGGCTCTTGGGGACAAGCAGGAGCCAAACCCTTCTCTGAGCTCAGCAGCTGGGCAGAGAGGGTGGGGCGGCCACGAGCACAAAGCCAGAGAGCAGACAGCAAAGATTTCCCAACACCTGCCCCGCTGCTCTTCCCAGGGGTTTGACGGTGACTCTCAGGCCCGAGAAATGGAGCTGGACATGGGGTGATGGAGGTCGGGACTACAGATGGGGCCCTGGCAGCCCGAGGCCACTCACCCCCTCTGTCTCTTTCATTGTTGTTGATTGCCT